CTTTCCTTTCCTTTCCTTTCCTTTCCTTTCCTTTCCTTTCCTTTCCTTTCCTTTCCTTTCCTTTCCTTTCCTTTCCTTTCCTTCTCTTTCCTTTCTCTTTCCTTTCTCTTTCCCCTCTCTCTCCTCTCCCAGAGCCAGGCCATGCGGATCGTGCGCACGGTGGGCCAGGCGTTCGAGGTGTGCCACAAGCTGAGCCTGCAGCACACGCAGCAGAACGCTGATGGCCAGGAGGATGCAGACAGTGAGAGGAATGGAGATGACCTGGATGTCCCAGGTAGGGCACACAGCTGGGACTGTGGCAGGTGTGGATCACAGAGGCACCGTGTCCCCGTGGGATGGCTGACACCTCTGGGCACTGGCTCTGCACACCAATCTGCCCTGCTGTGCTCCAGGCTCAGGCTGGGGTCTGGCTCAGCACGGAGCCTTCTCTAGGTGTTAGCCATGCTGCTCTCAGACGTGCCCCTTGCTGAGAGCCCATTAGCAGTGCCCGGGGCTCTGCTCTGTGCTTGGCTGCACACACTGCAAACATTCCCTCCTCGCTGCTTCCGCACAGGGGCCCCGAGCACAGACCTTCCTGCAGTTCCCACAATGGACACAGCCCTGGCTGTGGTCTCCCAGCAAGCTGTCAGGGCTGCAGGCAGGCTGCAACCCTGCTCCTTCTCAGCCCTGTGGGTAGAGGGTGCAGGAATGCCTGGCTGGGGGCTGCTGCTCCAGCGCCATCACCCTGAGCTTTGCAGGGTCCCAGGGAGCAGCAGCCTTGCTTTTGGTGCTGGTGCTGTGCTAGAGGGGAGGCAGAAATTTTAGGAGAGGTTAGTCAAACCCTTCCAGTGCGAGGTGGGACACTGGCAGGTCCTGCTGCCCGTCTGTGTGTGGATTCCCTGCCCTGCCATGCCGTGGGCTGGATCCCCCACATCCCAACAGCAGCAGCCTGGGCTGAGCTGCAGTTTCCTGCTTGCCTCTGTGACCAGTTCTGTCCTGATGACCTAATCACTGGGCTGCCCTGGACCGGTCATTGTTTGGTTTTCCTCCACACAATGTCCCAGCCACGATATGCAGCTCCCCGGGGAATGCAGAGCATCTGTTTTTTGTTTTTCTTTCCCGTAATCTCTTGTTTACCTTTCTCCAGCTTTATCTGTGTTTTCTGTTCTCGTGGCCCGTTTGTCCCACATCAGGGCTTTTGGCTGCCGTTCCCCAGGTCTGCTGTGCTGGGGCTGGGTGTGTTTTTGGCTGAGCACACAAAGCTTCCTCCCGAGCAGCAGCAGCGGGAGGAGCAGCCGTGGCTCTCTGCACCTGGGGGTGGGTGGCACAGGGCACTGAGGTGGGTGGGCATGGGCACTGTGGGTGCCAGGGGACCTGCCCTGATCCTGTCCCACAGCCTGTCGCCTCTCAGGCGTGGAGAGAGCAGCCACCTCTGCCGAGGAGACCGACATTGATGCCGTGGAGCTGCCACTGCCTGGGGCTGACATCCTGGACTTCAGCCGCGGTGTCACCGACCTGGACGCCGTGGGCAAGGAGGTGGGTGCCACTGCCAGCCCAGCTCCCAGTGGGTGGCACGGCCCCAGTCCCAGGACATCCTCCCGGGGTCAGGAGGGGTTGTGCAGCATTCCCCAGCTCCCTGATCAAAGCTGTCTGCCGCTGCAGAGCTGCCCTTTGGCTGGGGCCCAGGGCACTCCTGGAGAGCGCCGTGCCGAGGATCAGCTTTGTGCAGCCACGTGGAAGGGGTTTGAGGCAGAGCTGGTGGGGATTTTTTTCCACCAAAAACACAAAAATAAAAGACTTTTTTGACACAGTGGAAATTCCCATGGGAAGCATCAGCCTTTTTGGGAATTTTCTACAAAAGTATTCGGGTTGTTGTTGAAACTGAAAAAGCACTGTTTTCAAAGCACCCTCAGCAAAGTGTGCATTAGCTTTGAAAGCAGCTACTGCTTTTCTGGGTGTTTTGGGCAGCTGTTCTGTGCCAAAGCTCGTGTGTGCCCGTGGCTCTCTGAGGTGAGTGCCAGGGGATCACACCTCCAGCATTGTTGTTTTGCAGAGCTGCCTCCACCCTGAGGACATCCTGACGGCGTCACCCAAGATGCTGCTGCCCTCATCTGCCCAGCTGCCCGACCTGGGAACGCCCCTGTCTGCCCACCACCAGATGCAGCTTCTCCAGCAGCTCCTGCAGCAGCAGCAGCAGCAGACACAAGTGGCTGTGGCACAGGTTGTCCCCTCCGTTCCTTCCCAGGGGCAGTGGCAGGGCTGGGGCACACTGCTGGATCTCCATGCAGCTGTTTCTCATGGAAGCAGCTCTGGCTGCTTTATCCAGCTCATTACCTGAGCTTTACTTGTTCCCTGACCCCGCACAGAGCTCGCTGCAATTCACCAACTTCCTTCATGGCCTGGGCTATGAGCTCCTGCAGCCTTTCTGTGCTGCCCCCTGGCTTTGCTCCTCTCGCTTCAGTAAATCAGTATTTGTTGATCAGTTCTGGCTGAGCTGCTGCCTCCAGAGCCCACATGCCTTTTGGGGTCACGGGATGCCAAGTTGCTTTCCCCTCTGGAAGAGGGATCTGCATCCTCAGGGAATCCTTTGTGTTTGTCCTCGTGTTGCTCACAATCCAAAAGGCTCCATGGTGCCGGCTTAGAGTGTCAAATATTACACCCCTTGCTCTTGGTCTGGCTTTGTGGAAAGTTGTAAATCCCAGTTCTTTGCCTGGTCTCTTGTCACTCCGAAGCTCACTGTGCTTCAGCTGGGCTCTGCCAAGGGCACTGCTGTGCCACTTTGCTGGCCACGTTGGGCCAGCTGGCACTGCCTCCTGGTACCCACCTGTGGGGGCAGATGGCCCTGCAGCTGCAACAGCAGCTCACAGGTACAGAGAGCTTCCCCTTCTTCCTCAAGGTCACTTTCTAGGCCAGGGTAAAATAGCGTTTTGTGTTTGGTGGGGATATTTTTGGTTTTGGATTATGTTTGGTTTGGTTTTGGGTTGGATTTTTTTTGTTTTGTTTAGATGTAAATCTGTGCTTTCCTGGTCCCAGTCCTTGCTGGAGCAGTTTTAGGAGCCGTGGGTGGGTGCCAGGAAGGAGTGCTGAGCCCAAGTGGCCCCCAGGTCACTGCTGCTGCCTTGTGCAGTGTACATTTCTGGGGTTCTCCTTGCTCAAACACAGATCAGAGAGCTGCCCTGGGCAGGAGCTCCAGGCATGGTTCTGGGGACACAGATGTTTGCATGGAGGCAGTTATGCTGAAATCACTGTGGGCTCCCTGCAGGCATTGCTTCCCAGAGCCAGGCTGAGCAGGCAGCTCACACCCCAGAGCTGCCCCCTCAGCAGCAGCCTGCCATCCGTGGTGCTGCAGCCCCTCCTTGTGACAGAGCTGCTGCTCCTGGGCCCTGTTTCTGGGAAAGCTGCCCAAAACCACAGCTTTTCCAGGGCCAGCTCTGCTGCACCATCCAGAGCGTGTCCTCTGCTGCATCCATCTGACTGCTCCTGGGCTGCCCTTTCCATGCACATCCCCAGCTCATGGGCACCACTGACAGCTCAGTGCTGCCTGCCTGGCCTTGGGCTTTTCCATCAGGGAGGCTGGGGGACAACGTGCTGAGCTCTGGGGTGACACCTGTGCTGAGCATGGGGTGACACCAGCCACACGCTCCCCATCCCATCTGCAGTACCCACAGGGAATGGCTGCAGCAGGGAATGGCTGCTTCATCACAGCGTGGGTGGGATGCTGGTGAGCCGTGGGAGAGGGACAGGGACAGCCAGAGTGGCAGCCCTCGACCTTGGAGGTGCCCATGCTCACCTGCTGTCTCCTGTCCAGGTCCACCTGCTGAAGGACCAGCTGGCAGCAGAAGCAGCAGCACGGCTGGAGGCCCAGGCTCGTGTGCACCAGCTCCTGCTCCAGAACAAGGACTTGCTGCAGCACATCTCACTCCTGGTCAAACAGGTGCAGGAGCTGGAGCTGAAGCTGGCGGGGAACACGACCAGTAAGCGCTGTCGCCCCTTCCTGTCCCCTCGCAGCTAGCCGGGGCTGAGGGGGACATGCATGTGGGTGGTTTTCTTGGGGCTTTTTGTGCATTTCCAGTCATTTTGTTCAGAGGGGTATTTGTGCCCTTCTGGCCTGGCTTGTGGTGTGCAGCAGGGTGCTTGCATGCAGCGTGGGGAGGTGGCTTGGGGAGGGCTGTATGGACAGGTAGGCACCTACCTCCATCAGCTGTATGTTCGCTTTCCCCAGTGCCGGCATGCTCCTGCCCAAGAGCCCCTACTTGACCTTCCTCTCCAGCAGATGTGGCCATCAGCTCTCTGCAGGAGCTGGGCTGGAAGATAGTTAACTTCTTGTCCTGCAGAACTGGCCCTTTGCTGGCCAGCAGCAGCTCCTGGCATTAGTGACACCAAATAAGCCCCTCCAAACAGCGAGAGTGGAGAGGCTGATACCCGAAAGACCCCAGAGTGTCCTCCTCCGGCCAGTGTGCAGCCAGCCGTGGTGGCCAGGGGGAGCTGGGCCTCTTAGCCGTGCCCTTCTCTTGCAGCAGGCTCCCAGGACAGTCTGCTGGAGATCACGTTCCGCTCCAACGCGCTGCCCGTGCTGTGCGAGCCGAGCACCCCGCAGCCCGAGGACACGCACCCGCCGCCGCTGGGCCCCAGCCCGGCGTTCCCCAGCGCCGTGGGCAGCCCCATAGGTAGGAACGACTGCCTGGTGAAGCTGGAGTGCTACCGCTTCCTGCCCGAGTCGGGGCCGCCCGCCCCGGAGCCGGCCCTGGGCAGCCTGGAGCTCATCAAGTTCCGCGAGTCGGGCATCGCCTCCGAGTACGAGTCCAACACGGACGAGAGCGAGGAGCGCGACTCCTGGTCCCAGGAGGAGCCGCCGCGCCTGCTCCACGTGCAGTCCAGGCAGGACTTGGGCGACAGCCTGGAGGATGAGATCGCGGTGTAGGGGTCAGCAGGAGGTGGTGCAGAGCTGCCAGGACCTGCCGGAGCTGGGGAGGACCCTGGCCGCAGCCCCACGGCCCTGGCAGGGAGGGAGGGGGACAGAGGAGGGAGCAGGAGGATTCCAGCACCCGGTCGGGAGTGTGGAGGTGAGGATGGAGCCGTGCACAGGGCGTGTGCCGAGCTGCAGCGTCCCTGCTTTGCAGCAGACACCGAGCTGACAGCTCCTCGTGCTCCCCTGAGGCCCCATCTCCCTTCAAACTGTGCGTCAAGGTCAGGGAGAGGCAAGGGACTTCTGCTGGATGAGCCCCTGCTGCTGCTGGGGAAGCAGTAAAGCAGAGGAAGGGTTTTGCTGGGGGAATGGAGAGCAGTCTAGGGCAGTGAGCAGGGACAAGAGGGACCGAGGGGGCAGCTCCAAGGTGTCAGCAAGGATAGAGCAGCTGTGGCTCTCTGCAGGGTGGGGAGGAGAACAGGGCTATGCTAGGTGAGGGTTGGTGACGGTGCACAGTTAGAGTGGGTCTGTGAGAGAGACGTGAGGCATTGAGGGACAGTGGGGATGAGCCTGGAAAGGATCTGAAGGGGTGAGACGAGGTTGCTCAGGCTGGCCTGGTGCAGGCAGTTGCTGGCAGGAGGATGTGGCACTTCCAGGGCAGAGTTTATTTGTGCCAAGGCAGGTGGAGCCCGCTCCTCTGCCAGGCTGTGGATCGGAGAGCACAGTGCAGTGTGGAGCAGGGAGCCAGGGCATGCAGCACCAAGCTGTGGAGTGTCCTCCCCCTCATCATCTAATCCTTTGGCTCCTTGGCCCAGCTGCCAGGTTTCAAAGCCTTTTTCGTGCTCTCGAGTCACATTTTCAAGCAGCTCCCATCACCACAAACTCCCTGCTTTGCTTTATAGACAAACCCTCCCATTTCCAAGCAGTTGTTTTGCTCCAGACCAAGGCTGGGAGCTGCAGTGCTGGCATTGGCATCTTCAGGGATGAGCACACTTCCAGCCCTCGGTGGGGAGTGAACTGCTGGTGTCTGCAGGGGTGCATCATCACACCTCTGGTTTGCACCCTCTAGAAAAGTGAATCCAAGTTCTCGAGGTCCCCACCAGCCCTCAAGACACTTACAGCTCAAAGCCATCTGTGGGGGCCTCCAAGGGACCCAGAGCTTGTTCCTCTTCTGCAAACACTTTTATCACCTGCCTAGTGCTCAGCCTCTAAGAGGCCATGGTTGAAGGGGTATGAACCAAAGTCCTGATGTCCAGCCTGCTTCGCATGGAAGCACTCGATGAGGTGGGGGTTTGGCACAGTTGTCTTCCTCCCCACCCTCCCTGCTATCCTGCTTCTGCTTTGCCTTGTTGCTTCTGTGCTGCTCTCACCTTTGCCAGCTCTGTCTCTGCTCAATCTGCCTGCAACTAACCCCTGGCTGACACCACCTCTTGCTCTCCTCCAGGGCTTAGCCTGGCTGCTGAGGAAGGTCCATCACTTCTCTCTGCCCTGGTCCCCTTGGGACTGAGGGCTGCTGAGGAGTGATGTGTGGATGAGACCCCCCCGGGGTCAGCATGAGTGAGCTATGCACCCTCCACCACATGGCAGGACTGGATGGACTTGAGGAGCTAGAGGGCCTAGTGGGAAGGAAAGAAGGACGTGTTTCAGTGTCCCCAGCAGTGCCCTGGTGCCCAGGGCAGCTCTGCACCAGCCACAGAGCAGGCAGAGTGGAGAAGGTGCTGTTTGGTATGTGGTGTTCCTGTCCTGTGGGCACCACTGCCTCCATATGCCCTGTCCCTCACTGCTGGGGGACAGCTGCACCAGCCACTCTGCTGGGGACCCAACATCCCACTGCCAGCTTGCAGCAGTTGAAGGTAAAGGCAAGGCTGGTCCAGCTAGGAGGAGGAAGTGGGCATGGTGCTCACAGAGTACGGTAGGGGTGAGCTTGGGCAGGGGTTTCCATGTGGGCACACTGATCATTCAGGGGAAAGGACAGCAGGAGCTCAGCTGTACACACGGGGCAGATGGAGGGAGAGCCTGGGAGCAGCAGCATCATTCCAGAGGTCTCTTCTCAGGAAGCAGGTGGGGGGAGCCATCTCCTGAGCCACTGCCCGGGTCCCTCCCTGCTGCACCCAGAGCCCAGGCCTTGTCCCAGCTCCTGCAGGAGCTGTCAGCACCAGCTGTGGTCTCGGGATCCTGCCCCACACTGCCCACAGGGGACAGTGGCAGGTGCCCCACAGGCAGAGGGGGTGCTGGGTGGGATCCTGCCGGCCCCATGCTGTGCCATGGGTGTACACGTGTAAATGACCCCTCCTAAGTCAGCGCTGCCTCCAAGACTCCTCTCTAGCCTCTCACTTTTGTTATGGACCTTGACAGGGGTTTTATAGCTATATTTTTTGTCCTTTCTTTTCCTACAACTGTCGTATTACTAACTGTTGACTCAATCTGTCTGGGAAGCCAATCTGTCAATGTAAGTGCACTTAACCCTTGGGTGTTGTCATTAGTCAACTGGCTTTTGCTAAATAAATCTTTCTATTTCTCAAGGCTTTCTGTTGTCTCTTTCTTCTCACTGACTCTCTCTTTCTGTACTTCCTTCCCTCTTCATGCTGGGTGCCAGCACAAGCACTGGCATCCTCTGGCCTTGCAGAGACCCCCTCCAACCTGAGCCTCCTCTCCTGTGGGACCCCTGCTTATGGTGCCAGCCACAGGATGTCCACGAGAGCAAGGTGCCCAGAATATTGCTGGGAATAGAGATGTTTCAGTCTTGCCCTTCAGCCACTGCACAGCACAGCTTTGTCTCAGGGCTGATCCAACAGCTGGAGGGTGCCAGGGGCTTCCTGGCATCTGCAGGGCTCCTCACGGAGGTGCAGAGATGCTAATTGGCATTTCCAGGGCTCGGGAAATTTTTGGCTGCTGGAGAAGGAAAAGTAGGGAAGAGGCTGTCTTAAAGGATGGCAGAAGTGTTCTGTAGGCAAAAGCAGCACACAGGCAGAAGCTGACTGCTGCTGAAACAATTCATTCTGCTGCTGGCAGGAGTGATGGAGCACTGCCCTCCCGTGGCAGCCGTCTGGCTGCTGGGGCTGCAGGGACACCTAGAGGGATGCAGGGACACTCGGGGGGCTGCAGGGACACCTGGGGGGCTGCAGGGATACTCAGGGGGCTGCACACACACCCAAGGACTGCAGAGACACTCGGGGGATGCAGGGACATCCAGGGGGCTGTAGGGACACCCGGGGGGCTGCAGGGATACCCGGGGGGCTGCAGGGACATCCGGGGGGATGCAGGGATATCCAGGGGGCTGCAGGGACACCCCGGGGGGCTGCAGGGACTGGAGCAGTGCTGGGAACCCTTCCTCTCTGCCTGTCCCAGGGAATGTGGAGGTGGTTGTCTCTGTCCCAGTATGTGCCCCTGGGATGCAGTGGTGGAGTTGGGCAGAGGATGCTGATGGGCAGTGTGGCCCCAGAACAGCACCAGGCTCAGCCAGGAACTGGCTGGATCCATCACACAAACCCACACTGTCATGGAGGCAGCCACGGGGATTTGAGCTGGCACTCCTGGGTGCAGCCCCACAGCTTCAAGGACTTTTGCTGGGAAGACATGGTGGAGAAGCCAGTGTAGCTCAGATGTGGGGTGTGACTGCAGAGCCCTTTCCCCAGCAAGCACCTGCTGCCACCCACCACAGAGACCCAGTCTGGCTGAGCTGAGGGAGCCATGGTGGGGTGGGCAGAGCAGAGCCCACACTGTGGGTGCCCCCAGAGGAGGCCCTGTGGCTTTACCAGGGTGTGGCTGACAAGGGGCCCCCATGTGAATGCCATCTCTTCAGGCAGCATGAAAGGTCTGAGCAGGGGTGGGCAGCACACCTCACCTGGCAGTGTGGAAGGGACAGGCAAGTTCTTCCCTTGCCATTCCCCTGGTAAATGCTTGCTCTCTCTCTCTTTTCCCACAACCTGCTTCCCCAGTCGCTTGGTGTCAGGTAAGAAAAGCTCTTGGTGTGCTGGCAGTGCCAACCTGGAGCCCTGGGCTCGCTGCTACCCTGTCTTGCCCCACGCTGGTCCCCCGTGCATGCACTGCCCTGTGCAGCCTGGCTGCCCATAGCCTCTGTGGGGCTGTAGAAACATCCTCCCAGTTCCCAAAATTGTGTTCCCACGGTGTGCCAGTCCTGCTGGGATCCCCCCTCCAGCCTGGCTCACATCCTCTCTGTTCCCTTTCCCCCTCCAGTGGACCAGAGCATGTTTGAGAACGCCAGTGCCAGCGCGGCGCCCACGCCACGGGCACAGCACGTCCCTGTCGCGGCGGGCAGCGTGCCCCAGCCCTGCCGGCCCGCTGGCACCCAGCACCTCCGCAACCTGGGCAAGGCCGTGGGCGCCAGGATGAACGACCTGCTGCGCCGCAGGGAGCCGGCCGGCCTGCCCGGCGTAGGAGCCATGGAAGTGAACGCCAGTGCGGGCGCCGTGCTGGGCGCGGGACAGCCGGCTGCTGAGGATGGGTGAGTGTCCCTGCAGCGTGCACCCCGTGCCAGGGCCTTTGGGACAGGCTGGAGCGTGGGGCTGAATGAGCTGTCCCTCTGTGCTTGCAGGGCTGCGGGGCTGGAGGCCTTTCCCCGGCTGGAACCCCCGCCCCCCATCACCAAGAAGCGGACGCCGCGTGCCCTGAAGACCCCCCAGGACATGCTCATCGCTCCGCAGGTGGAGGGGACCGGCACGAGGAGTGGCACCGAGGAGCCTCCCGAACCACCCACAGCCCACCCTGACCTGGCAGAGGAGCAGCTGGGGATGGGAGACCCATCTCCTCCAGAATGCCCTGGGGTCCCCAGCGTGATGGGCGCTCTAGAGCCCAGTGGGGACCAGCCTACCAGTGCCTTACCCGTGCCCGACCTCATCCACAAGGGCAGCCGGGAGAGCCAGTGGCAAGTGGGTGACAGGGCCACTGAGATGTCACCCAGCACAGAGAAGCCCTCACAGAGACCAGGGCTGGAGCACGAGCCACCAGGGAGCACAGGGCGGCCAGAACTACGTAGCCCTGGCTGGGAGGTGGAGGGGGCCCATCCCGACCTACTGTCCTTTGAGTAGCAGTGGGTAGCTGTGACAGGGCCACCACGGGGGCTGGCTCTCCCAGGCTTGTCTCTCGTTGCCACTTGCCTTTTTTTGGGTGATTATTTTGGAAAGGGGGAAGCCTAAGGGTGGAAGGAGCCATTGCTGCCCTGTGTGGGCTCTAGGGAGCCATGACAGCCTGCTTCTCCCCAAATTCCCAGGAGGGGCACAGCCTGTCCTGCCATGGCTTCTGCAGCCCCATTCTGGGCCTATCCATCCTGGCCAGTGCCAAGCTCCTGTCCTGCCACAGTGCCACTGCCACCCTGTCTGCAGCCAGGAGCCTTGCTGAACTGGGGACCTAGGTGTGCGTGGGGGTAGAAGTGCCAGCCTGCCCCAAACCCATCGTCTCTGCTGGAGCGTGGGATCCTGTGAGCATCCTAAAAGCACCACACACTTCCTGTGTCTGCACTGGCTGCCTTGGTCCAGAGGATTTCCCAGCTTCTGCCCTGGGCTTGCTGAGATACCCCATCCTGGGGTACCAGCAGGCTCACCCAGCCCCAGTGCCTGGTGCCAGCGAGCCAGGACTGCAGATGTGCCCAGGGCCTTCTCCAGCTGCTGGCCACATGGTGTTTCCGTGCTGAGTGCATCTCCTTGCAGTGGAGCCCCAGGTGCAGGAGACCTGGGCTCTGGCAGGGCACAGGGCTGGGCGCTGGGGACTGCCCAGCTGCTGGCCAGTGGGCTCTGGCAGGGAGCTGAGCTCTCTGTGAGACCCCCTTCCAACTCCTGCTTGTTTCCTGGTCTCGTCCCAGACACCGTGGACAGAACTGTCCAGGCAGTTTTGGACCAGTGTCACTTCTCCCCTTTACTTCCCGGGACAGTGGTCTCTGTAAGACTGGGATACACGAAGCCACGTGGTTCTCTGATACTGCTGGATGAGTGTTTCACCATGGATTGCAGGAGGGGTTAGCCAGCCTGGAGACACCTGTGCCAATGCAAGGAAGCAGCTGGGGGTTGGAACTTTTTGCTTTAGAGCTTTTATGTACATCCTCACCACAAAAGTGGTTTTTCAGAGGAAAAGCCCCAAAGCCCCGGGTTGGGTTGGAGGAACCCAGGAACGCATGGATGGGCCTGCTCACAGCTCCTTCTGGGCCACGACGGGGTGGTTGGGCCGAAGAAATTACTTCCACCAGCCAAAGCCACACTGTCCCACTGAAGGAAGGAAGCTGTGAGTGTGGATCGCGTTGCCCTGGGAGCAGCCATCCATGTCCTTACCATTGGTGTGGTGATGCCGTGGTGGCACTGGGGCCCTGCAGCTCCGGGCTCTGAGAAAGCCCAGCTCAGGAGTGAAGGGATACAGAGTTGCACAGAGCCTGTGTTCAGTGCTGAGGTGTCCCGCACTCTGTGACAATGTGATCACGCTGTGCATGGCCACCTCTACCCTCAGATACAGGGTGTCTGTGTGTGCTGCAATGGAGGCGTTGATGGAAACCAGGACTTGCAGCCCCTCTCTGAAGAACCAGCATCTTCCATCACTGTGATCCCAAGGGAACCTTCCTTTAACAAAGGGTTGTCACTCACAGCCAGTCCAGTCCCTCTATTTATGTTGTCAGGGTGCGTGTGTGTGGTTTGGGACAAGAGATGCATATTGCACAATAAATTCTTTTTTTCTTTTTTACCCACTGATGTGTAGCATTCCCCTTGATGGGAGAGAACACCCAGGCACGACTTAGACACCATCCTGGTGGGGAGCCAGGGGTGGAGGGGGACTTCGGTGATGTCCAGATTGGGGTGGAGAACGTGGCTGTGCTGCTTGCTTGGCACTGAGGGCACGGGAGCCCTGGCTGGTGTCTGGGCTGAGGGGACTGGGCTGAGGGGATCGGACCTGACGGGAGCCCTGGCTGATGTCTGGGCTGAGGGGACTGGGCTGAGGGGATCGGACCTGACGGGAGCCCTGGCTGATGTCTGGGCTGAGGGGACTGGGCTGAGGGGATCGGACCTGACGGGAGCCCTGGCTGATGTCTGGGCTGAGGGGACTGGGCTGAGGGGATCGGACCTGACGGGAGCCCTGGCTGGTGTCTGGGCTGTGGGCGTGTGAGCCCCGGGAGGGCTGAGGGAGACGGAGCCCGCCTGTGCCCGGCTGAGGGCACCGGATCCCGGGGGTGCCCGGGCTGAGGGATCCCGAGGCTGTTGAGGGGCTGGAGCCCGCCTGTGCCCGAGCACAGGGGACCGGGCTTTGGGGTGCCCAGTTGAGGGGACCGGACCCCGACGGAAGCCCTGGCTGGTTTCTGGGCTGAGGACGTGTGACCCCCGGCAGTGCTGAAGGCAGAGGGCACCGGCCTCTGGTGGGGGTACGGCGGGACCCCGCCCGCTCCTGGGCCCGGTGCCCGCCCCGCCGGGGGCGGTGCCGCCCGCCGTGCCGCCCCGTTTCCGGTGTCATGGCGGCCGGAGCGCGGCGGCGGCCGGGGCCGGGGCCGGTGCCGGGGCAGCGGCGGGGCGGCGGCGGGACGGCGATGTGAGGCGGGCCGGCCATGTCGGGGTGCGCGTGGGGCGCGGCGCCGCCGCTGCTGGAGGCGCTGGGCCGGCTGTGGGAGGTGCAGGCGCCGCTGGGCAGCGGCTCCTCGGCCTCGGTGTACCGGGTGCGCTGCTGCGGGGACCCCCGGGCCCCCCCCGGCGCCGTCAAGGAGTTCGTGCCGCCCCCGGGGCCGCGGCCCGGCCCCGCTCGCCGCCCCGGCGCCCGCCCGCCCGCCGCCGACTGCGCCGAGTACGGGTTCCGCAAGGAGCGCGCCGCGCTCGAGCAGCTCCGCGGGCACCGCAACATCGGTAACGGCACCCCCGCCCCGGCCCCGGCGCCCCGAACAGCCCTCCTCGGGCACCCTCTGGCCCCAGAGCACCCCCAGGGCAGCCTCCCCTGCCACACCGGTGTCTGAACCGCCCTCCCAAGCCAGGGAAGGGAGCTCCCAGCTCCTTTGGGAATACAGGGAGCCTCACTCCGGAATCGCCCCCAGGCCAGTGTGCCCTCGGAGTGGCACCGCTGAGTGGGCAGATCTGAGGGCCTCTAGCCTAGACACCCCAAAGCAGCTCCCCTGCAGTGCCCCACGCCTTCCCTGGGTGGGAGATCTGCAGGTGACATCTCCGCGGTGGGCAGGAGAAATGGGCAGAGCGTGTCACACCCCAGAGCGCTCCTTTGGGCAGGGTGCCAGAGCCCCAGCGAGGACTCTGTTCCCACTGGGCTGCAGTTCCTGGGCTGCCTTCGTGGGTGGGAATGAGCCTGGGAAGGGAAGAAGTCTGTGTGTCAGACGTGATTGCTGGAAGTGCCAAAGTTCGTCCACCGCTGATATTTTTTGTCGGTGTGAAATGCTTTTTAATGCCATGGTGTGCCTGGACAGCACATGGGTTCCTACACTGCAAAGTTTGTCACGGGATGAGATTGACATGTCTCTGAAGAGCAGCACTGTGTCCAGTTTGTCCTCTGGGATGTGCATATCCAAGTCCCGAGCAGGAGCACTGGGCCCTGTCACTTCAGCAGAGCCTGGGGAGTGTTGTGAGACCAGCCTGTCCTCTAAAGCTCGTGGGGGTGACACGGCTGGTTTTCCCTTGCTTCTTCCTCCCTGGTTGTCTGAACATCACCCAGATGTTACAGATGGTCTGAGCTGCCTGCCCCAGCCTTTGTGGTGAGCAGGGGTGGAAGGCTGGTTCCCGATGCCTGTCCCTGTGTCTCGTTGCAGTGACACTCTACGGCGTGTTCACCAACCACTACTCTGCCAACGGCCCGTCCCGCTGTCTGCTGCTGGAGCTGCTGGACATCAGCGTGTCCGAGCTGCTGCTGCACTCCAGCAACCAGGGCTGCTCCATGTGGATGATCCAGCACTGTGCCCGAGATGTCCTGGAGGCCCTGGCTTTCCTGCACCACAAAGGCTACGTGCACGCAGACCTCAAGCCACGCAACATCCTGTGGAGTGCAGAGGAGGAGTGCTTTAAGCTCATTGACTTTGGACTTAGCTTCAAGGAGGGGAATCAGGTTTGGAATGTGCTGCTCTTGAAGCAGATGGCTCTGTGTTGAGTTGTGTGGCTCTGTGATGTTTTCCGAGTGACCTGATCAGAGTAGGAGCTGAGCTGGTGCTGAGGATTTACTGGAAAAGGCTAAAATGTTGTCTGCCCCAGACACCGAAGCTGTGTTCCCATTTTCCTTGCATGTCTCTGTTTTCTGTTGGTGTTTGTGCTACAAATTCCAGTGTTAATGATGCACTGAGAAAAGTGGTGTCTCAGCTTCCTGGAAAGTGTGCTAGTTTTTATGTGGTCAGACGAGTGGGAGCACCCAGAAATGTAGAATTCCCTTTTATCATTCCTTATCATGTGTAGTAATCCAGGCTTTGCCATCAGCCTCCCCAGCCAAGTGTGTTATCTCTGACAGTGTCCTTGTGCTTGCCTTTACTTTCACCCTGTCTTCAGCAGCCTCCCTTCCTCAGGAAGTCTGGATGTTTCTTTCCCACACGTATCAAAAGTGCCCTGGGTGGGCAGTGTCTGTTCTTTACTGACACAGACAATCTCTGCCCGTTCTACTCTTTGTCCCATTTGCTGCTCTCCTGCTCAGTGTTCTTGCTGTCACTTTTGTTGTGGCAATACTGAGTTGTTTGTCCTTGCCCATTTTATTATCTTTCATGGCTTTTGATGGAAGCAGAGAGCCTCAGGAGGTTCTGCTGTTGCCTTGATAGATGTTCTTTCACTCCTCCCTCTCTCAGTAGCAGCCTGTGAGAAGTCTCAGAAAGAGACTTTACTCTGATCTTTTCCATCAGGTAACCTTGTAGCACACTTGCCTTTAATCACTGGGTGATGGATGGTAATTTTTTCTGTGCCTTCCTACATTGTCCTGGTTTGTCCCTATTCCACGCACTTTACTCACTTAGCAGTTTTAAATTTATATACTTTTTTACTGGTTTACCTGGTATTGGCAGTACAGCCCACTGATTGTGAATGTCAGAGGGTTGTGTGGGTGACCTATCTCTCAATTCTTTTTGGTACAGGAGTTGTTTTTAATGTTTGGACTTCTTGACTCCCCCGTGTTGTCTTCAGTTCTCCCACATTCTTGGCTGGGTTTCTAGTGGTAATCTGTTGCTGTCTATCAGCAAAATACACACTCGTGGTGTCCTGTGTCTAATGCAGATATTTTTATTTAATTCAGGTCTGTGTTTTGCTGCTTGCTGTGCGAGTTGCCTCGTAATAGTTGATGGGGTGTTCTATTTGCTTTCCATGTTCTTTCTTTGGGCTGAGTTTCCTTTGCCCTTTCTCAGAAACACACTGGTTGTATGGGTGAACCTTCTGACCTTGCTTTGAATGTGCACCAGGTACCAGTGTCCCATCCCCACCCCTGCCTTGGGCTGCAGCCTACATGCATAATTTCCTTATCTGAGTCAAAGACCATGCTACTTTTATTTATGGCAGCCCTGCCAAGCTTATCCTTACACAAAATTTCCTGCAATTGCTGTTCAACAGGGAATGGTTGTACACAGATCAAGGTCTCAACCACTTACAGCTCTCCAAAT